TGACTCTGGGCAGTTTACAGTAAAAACAGAATAAATATTGATTAAAATAGATAAAAAGTAAAGATTTTGAAAAATAAAGATTCTTGCTGATGTCTTCCTTATAGTTTCAGAAGACTCAGCAAACAGAAGAGGTATCAATTCCGCTCAAGATGGTCCTGCCAGAATAGGGAAACTTTTGTTGTTGTGCTACACTTGCAGTGGGAACAAACAGGAGACCTTAATTTTCAGCCTCAGCAAACTCTATTTTTATAAGAACTAAAGGACCAGAACTTTTTCAAAACCATATAATAGAAGCATACTGTTTAACATATTAATCTTTTCTCCACCTAAGATTCAAACAAATTACCTGAAGGACAAGATGACGATGATCTTCCTCTAATAAGCACAAGTCTTCTTTGTCCAAATGGGTGCGAAACAAGGATAAATATTCATTTTGCCGGCTAATATCAGTGGCGAGAATCAATGCCCCTATTTGGCTTTCCATCAGCTGCCTGAAATTGGAGATAATAGGAAGAAACCCAAAGTAATAATTGGTATGTAAATTAAAACGTGACTCATTACACAATGTTCAGCTCAACACTGATTATAAACTTGCAACATTTGGAAAACAGCAAGTTTCAATTTAGTAATTCAAAGATCTAACTCAGATGTTTAGGTGCCTTTCAGAAGTTTGGGATTAGCTATGCTGCCTGAGAAAGTTAGTCCAAATTATCTGAAATATCTGGACTATAACTTTATACATAATTAAAAATGATGGTAGTATAGATGAAACTAGGCACCATGAATCAAGAATTATTATTCATTCATTTTCCTTACAGGTAGTCCTCTACCTGGATCCAACTGGGACTGGAATTGCAATCACAAACCATGATGTCATATGATCACGCCACTTAGCAACAGCAGTTCTGGCACTTCCGATTGCTGTCATTAAGCGAATCCCATCCCATCATTAAGCACGATGTCACGTGGTCACCATTTGCAACCTCCTGCCAGCTTCCCTATTGACTTTGCTTGTGGGAAGCCAGTAGTGAAGGTCGCAAATGGTGATCACATGACCACAGGACATCAGAATTGCAAGCCAGTCGCCGAGCACCTGGATTGCAATCATGCGGCCACAGGGAAGCTGCGACAGCTGGAACTTCAAGAACCGATTGTAAGTACCACTCATTCAGCACTATCATAAGTTTGAATAGTCACTGAATAAGTGGTTGTTAAGCAAAGACCACCCGTATTTAGCTTTATTTATTTATTGAAACATAAAATTGCTTTCAAAATTATAATAAAATGTATTTTAGAAAAGTACAAATAGCTTTATTTTACCCATTTTAAATAATTCATTCTGTAATGTATTCTCTATTCTGTGAAAAAAACATGTTTTTTTGCAAATCTGATATATACCTGCTTTCTATTGACATATGTGCAAATAATCCAGATTCTCTCAATAGCCCCACTGCTGATCGCCAGTGGTGATTTTCTAATACTGAGGTATTCTGAAAGTAAATAAAAGATTATTGGTATTAAGTATTCTTTGAATGCTGAACTACAAATAACAAGCAACAAATTATGCTGATTTTTAACCAAGGGAGCACAATCCTATTACTTTTCCTGGGTACATAAGCCATTTTCAATATTTATCAACTATGGATTCCTTTCCCTCTTCCTTCTTTATTGGCTTCAAAAATTAGTCAGATTCAGCTGATTTTGAACTTTAAATCTTTCAATAACAGCATTTATCGTCCCCCACACCACAGAGAACTGGAGTATATTTCATTTCAGCATAAACACACTCTCCTGGGTTTTTTCAGTTGCAGGATCTTCTCAGTTATGAAACTCAGGATTACCAAAAGCTTCTTCTCTGTCCACTTTCAAATAATGATGAAGACAATTTTATTTTAAGTCGGGTTTTTTTTAAGAATTCAGTTTTATTATATATCTGCTACTATTCGCTTGTGCTGGATCTTTTAAGCAACATTTTTTATACTTGGATTAAATAAATCACTTTAGACAGAAATGATCACTTTTTTAAAAAAAGTCTGTATCATGGGTTCCTTACTTCTATTAAATGCTTTAATACTTCTTCTGAATAGAACGTAAGAAAAGATTTTTAGATCAGGCTGTAAGACAATCCAGTCCAGCATTCTGTGTCACACGGACCAACTACAGGTAGACCTCGATTTATGACAATAGGGACCAGAAAATTCATCATTAAGCAGTGGGTCATTAAGCAAAACATCATGTGATCACCATTTGCAACCTTCCCTGCCAGCTTCCCCATTGACTTTGCTTGTCAGAAGCCAACTGGGAAGGTTGCAAATCATATGATCCTGGGACGCTGCAACCATCATAAATACATGCCGGTTGCCAAGTGCCGAAATCATGATCACATGACTGCAGGGCACTGCAACGGTCGTTAAGTGCGAGGACCAGTCATAATTCACTTTTTTCAGTGCCGTTGTAACTTTGAACAGTCACTAAACAAATGGTCATAAGTCGAGGACTATCTGTAGATGCTTTGGGGAAGCTCACAAGCTTGGACTGTAGCCAATAGCCCCCTTCCCCTATCACTTCTCCATAACCAGTATATAAGACATGCTGCCCTTGATTCAACAGCAGTAAACATTCATCAGCATCAGTAGCTACTGACAGCCTGTTCCTCCATAAATCTGTCCAGGCCCCTTTTAAAACCATCCAAATTGGCTGGTTTTAAAACAGCTGTCAGCAGACTCCTTCTGTCAGTCCAGAACCTCCTTGTATTTAGTTTCAGTAAATTATCTCAGGTTCTAACACTGTGAATGAGAAAAACTTCTTTCTCTCCATGTTAAGTATGCCATGCATGATTTTATATATGTCTCCCCTTAATTTCTTCTATTCAAAGCTGAACAGCCCAGTTGCTATAATCTTTCCTTGTACAGAGCAGCTCCAACCCTTATTATTTTGGTTGCTCTTTTTTGCACCTTTTCTTAAGATGCAGTGATCAAAAGTATACAATACACTGCCTCTTAAGATGCAATGATCAAAACTATACAAGACAAGCGCAGCCTCAATATAAATTTTAAGGGTATCATTATATCAGCAGTTCTATTTTCAGCTCCCTTCCTAATAATTCCAAGCAGGGACAGCCTTTTTTTAATAGCAGCTGCCTGCTGGTTTGACATTTTCATCAAGCTGTGTACTGTGACTCCAAGATTCTTTCCCTGATCAATCACTCTCAGTCAGATCCCATTAAAGAATAGAAGTATTTGTCTTCCACTTACTTTGTATAAAGTTGCTAAATAATGGTTTGTTTTAATAAGAAAAGGCTGATTAACACCTGGATGATCCAAATCATGAGTGGCAGCTGCAATTAAACTGAGCAGAATATCCCATGGAGTTAGAGATTGGAAAAGCTGTAATATATAAATTACATCCACATGAATATCTATTATTGATACTTCCAACAAATTTGGCTAGCATTTCCAGCAGAGTTTAACTATGGCATCAGGTTATTCTGTTGACTGTATTTTAGTTAGTCTACAGATTTTTTTTTTAATTCTAGGGCTAGCAATATTGAAGCAATAAGGAATATTGCTAGTTTTTCTTTACAAAAATGCAACCCCCAATAATTCATACAATTTGATTTTGAAATTCTCAAAAGTTTCAAAAGTATTACAAGAACTTTCCCCAACTGGATCCCTGCCAATTTGTGTTGGGAAACTCCAACCAGCATACTCAATGTATCTGGAGGGATCTATATCAGGGAAGATACACTATGGCATAAAACAAGCTCTTCAAAGAAAAATAATATTAAATTCTGGGGGCAGCTGGCCTCCTGATGTCACTCCTGAGTGATTCGCCAGTTCCATCATTCTTGGAATTTATTTATTATTTTTAAGATTGTTTTTATATTGTATTTTAATT